GTGGGGCCTTTTGGGGTTGAGGATGGAGTCAAGCTCAACTCCCAGTCCTACTGCCAGTTCCTGGAAGACACCTTCTTCAAGCAGTGGCACAGGAAGAAGTCTGCATCCTTTTCATGCAGGACAATGCTCCATCACACGCGTCCAAGTACTCCACAGCATGGCTGGCAAGAAAGGGTATAAAAGAAGAAAATCTAATGACGTGGCCTCCTTGTTCACCTGATCTGAACCCCATTGAGAACCTGTGGTCCATCATCAAATGTGAGATTTACAAGGAGGAAAAACAGTACACCTCTCTGAACAGTGTCTGGGAGGCTGTGGTTGCTGCTGCACATAATGTTGATGGTGAACAGATCAAAACACTGACAGAATCCATGGATGGCAGGCTTTTGAGTGTCCTTGCAAAGAAAGGTGGCTATATTGGTCACTGATTTGTTTTTGAATGTCAGAAATGTATATTTGTGAATGTTGAGATGTTATATTGGTTTCACTGGTAATAATAAATAATTGAAATGGGTATATATCTGTTTTTTGTTAAGTTGCCTAATAATTATGCACAGTAATAGTCACCTGCACACACAGATATCCCTCTAACATAGCTAAAACTAAAAACTAACTAAAAACTACTTCCAAAAATATTCAGCTTTGATATTAATGAGTTTTTTGGGTTCATTGAGAACATGGTTGTTGTTCAATAATAAAATTAATCCTCAAAAATACAACTTGCCTAATAATTCTGCACTACCTGTATATACATACATACATACACACATATATGCAGATTGAAGGGCTGGGGGCCCAGGCACAAAGAGGATTACCTGTGCAGTCCGGGCCGCCTGGCGGCAGGCCCCCCTCCCGGCCGGGCCCTCGCACCATGTCCGAAGTGCCCGACCGGTCAGTTCGCCCCTGGGCGCTAGAGCACAGACATTGGGTTTAAACTGTTCTTAACCCCTTAAGGACAACTTATGGAATAAAAGGGAATCATGACGGAATATTTCCGTGATGTGTCCTTAAGGGGTGAAACAATCTAGCCCTAAACGTTAGCCTGCTGAATACACAAACACACACACACAATCTGCTAAAAACATACACATAGACTACGGAATACACACACACTGCAGTGAGTGTGTGTAGGGGGTGCTGTGTGTTTGTGAAGAGGTTCAGTGTGGATGCGGGACTGCAGTGTATGTGTGTAGGGATTCAGTGTGTGTAGGAGTGATGTGTGTGGAGGGGGTGCAGTGTGTGTGTGTGTGTGTGTGTGTGTGTGAAGGGATGCAGTGTGTGTAGTGGTTCAGTGTTTGTGGGGTGCTGTGTGTGTAAGGGGGTGTTGTGTGTGTGGAGGGGGTCAGCTCCTCTGGCGGCAGGCTGACTACTCTCTCCTCCCGCAAGTACTGACCTGAGTTGGAGCGTTGCCATGGTAACATGTGGCAACGCTCAGACCTACCTGCTTGCGGGAGGAGTGTTCTGCCTCCCTCTGCTGTGGTAAACTGCCGTAAGGCCGGTGAGGGAGACCCTTGATCTCCCTCACCAGCCCGAGAAGGCAGATAACAGAGGCTGCAGAAACTGGGACATTTATGCGTCCTGAGAAACTCTTTGAACGCCGGGACAAATTGGTGAAAATCGGGACGTCTGGTCACCCTGTGATTGAGCCACTCCTTTATAAAGCAGAGCACACCTTTCAGTCAGTGCTTGATTGTTTTGTTGCCTGCCTCAGAAGTCCTAGTGTTTGTTTCCCTGTCCTTGCTGGTTTCCAGACTTCTGGCACCATGACAACTTAATTTCAATTAAGTTGCTATGGTGCCCAAAGTGTTCCTTTAAAGCTCTGAGCACCTAATCAAAGCTTGCAGAGTACATTTTAAGATCAACGCTGGAATTGTAATTAGTTGAGATGTTGTAGTAAGTAGTAAGTAAGATACAGTTTCAAATCCCTGTGCCGTTTGCAATTAAGGGAATATAGTCACAATAGATACATATAAAGACTAAGCACCATAAACACTTTGCATAATAACACGCTGAGCCCACTCAGTGTTTGAGAGTGGGTTATATTTGTAAAAATGCTAAATATGAAAATTAGAAGAACTTATCTTTGTATCTAAAAGATTTTATTTAGAATTTAAAAACCATAAATCTTTACAGCAAAGGAACACCGATATTTAGATGATTTCACCCAAAACAAATAAAAACAAGTAAAATGTACACATTCACTTTAATTATATGATTAACTAATACATATCAAAATAAACTCAGATTTATAGTAAACTAGGAAAACCTCTGCAAATATGTTTTTTTACTTTTGAAAAATGGTTATTTGGCTGTATGCATTTTAGATTTGTAATTATATTTACTGATAGTTTATTTCATATTTTACTTGTGTTACTCACACCCCCAGCTCTCAAATCTTGGTTTCGGGGAACACGATATGAAATAGTATAATTCTATGTAAATGATAGTTTGTAACAAATGGCAATAAGTAATGTTGTTCTTATTTACCATCCGAAGCTCTGTGATCCTGTTAAGACAGAATGAGTGATATACCTTGTCAGAAGAGGATCTTTAAGGACATTTATAACTGATACTGACATTTATTAAGTGCTGTGATCTAAATGGAGAATAATAGTGTATTACATTATCTTGCAATTCCATTATACTGGAGCAGCTTTTTTAAGGTCCTCCATTAATCATTACTAGAGAATTTTTTGAGCAAAACAAATACAGGGATTTCAAACCTGAGTTGTGGTAAGGGATTTAGAAACCTTGTTAACACAAGTCCAGTATAATTTGCATGGTCACGTTATTCAGAAACTAGGATCACTCGCTTGTTTTTTAAATATTGTTAGATTTGATGATGGATCTAAAACCCCAGAGTTCTGGGGGATCACGAGGATCTCTTGAACTGGGATCAAAACCACCTGGGAAACGACCAGTAAAAAGGGGGGTGGGAAAAAGCTCATACAGTGATTTAAACTGAAATAACAGCTTTCTTGTTCTACATAACTGGAGTTATGGGTCAGGTCTGTGCCATTCCTTTTACCTTGGGTTAGTTTTTGATTAAATGACAAACGACACAGGATTCAGGAAGAATCCACTCTGAGCTGCCTGGTGGAGGTTAGTGCTGTACACCGACTTCCATGGTAAAATATATAAGAAACACACAGAGTACCAAACACACGATTTCCTTATTACCGTACAGCACAGATGAGATGTGTGCAAGTGAGCTGAGAGGAGGAGAACTTATTTTAGGATTACACCATACGGGGTGCTATATACTACCCATATATGTGAATAATGGGAAAGGATGCAACACGAAACCCTCTTAATCCCACCTTAATCTACCTACCGTAATCAACAGGAATAAACAATCTATTTATTATTGTAGCAAAGCAGTAAAATGTAAAAATCTGATTAAATCATTGTGACTATGTGAATCATTAGCATGTTTGAAGCAGATCTGTGATATTAAACCAATTCCTATAAAAGCCATTAGTATAGTGCACATTCTGCGTCGTTATAAAGAAAGGAAGGCGACAGTGATCTCGCAGGACGGGATCCATTATATCTGATACAGGAATTATCTGTAATGATCCCAATGTTTGTAGAGCTGAAAAGAACAAAACATTAATTCTATTATCATTTATCATAAATATAAATTACATAGTTCATGACTTCAGGGTTTATTAATTAATACTTAGCTGTGTCTAGAATGACAGGTACACATTTATATAAAGAATACAAAATTAATTCAATCCCCAATATGTGTTCATAGTATTTATAATTGCCATAAGACTTCTTGTTTGATCATTCAGGACTAATTTGATGAACAAAAAAAAACAATCCATTGATAAAGCAAAGGGCTCAGTACGATTATAGATATCAGCAGGCAAGGCTTTGTGTAAATCACAGAATAATAGAAATACTGGACAGGAGGAAGGGTTACACTGTGTCTGGGTTAATGTTAAATAAGAACCCAATAACCTTGTTAGACAAAATCCCAAAATGACAAATTAGTCAGAATAAAATATTAAAAAAGACTCGGTTGCGTATTTAATTTGATAGGGGCCCTGGTTTGAGAATTATTTTTAGGGGGCTTCTATAGCGCAAGGGTGGCCAAAGAGAAGATCCCTATCTGTCGCACAAATCACACAATGCTATGACAGTTGGGGGAACAACTATTTGCCCATCCTTGCAGGGTTGTATTTGTGATCAGTTTTTGAGCATTTAAATGTAATCATGTTTCTATATGGAGAAAGTGTGTGTTCGTGTAGGGTTGTATTTGTATGTACTGTTGCAATTGTTCTTGTTGGAATGCAGTGGTGTACTTCTATGTAATGTTTGCATTTGTGTGCTAGAATGTGTTTGTATGTAGCTTCTAAATGTAGGTGTATTTTTGTGTGTAGTGCAAGTGTTTGAATGAAGGGGTGTTTGTATATATTTTTAGAATTTTAATACAGAGACGTGTTTGTATGTAGCATCGACTTTTAAATGTGGATGTACTTATGTGTGTTGTATTGGTGTTTAAATAAAGGGGTTTGTATATAAGTTTAGCATTTGACTGCAGTGACTTAATTGTATATAATGTTTGTGTTTAATTGCAAGGGTGTATTTGAAAAAAAAAGAGTGTTGGCGTTTGCTGGTATGTATGCATATATACACATACATACATATTTACACAGATACACATTCTTCGACACACAGATATGGACTAGCACACTGATGCATACACTCACGCAGATACACACATAAAAACACTCCGCCACACACGTGCACACTGTCAAGATTACAGTATGAACCTGCACATATAATTGTGTAACACAGAGGACTAATAGGTAACGTATACCGGACCTTAGATTGGCCGGATTAATGTACCAAAGAATAGTCAGGAATAGCCGAGGTCAAGGGACACAGATAGAGACACAACGATAAGGAAAACCCAGGGGTCAGGGATGCCAGAAAACAGGGAATTGAAAATCAATGCCAAAGTCAAATAACCAGAATAACCAGAATCAATAGCGCGCTCTCGGACAACTACAAGGGAAACCAAGACAGAGCACTGAGCAGGATGAGAACTGGGCCTAAATACCCCTCCTTTGGATCTGATAGGCTGTAACCGGCCTTTTACCCGAAAGGCAGTTACCAGGTTCCATTTGCATGATTGCTGCTCAGCACAAAGCCTCCTGTGGATTTGGTTGCTGCTCTGCACAACTTTTGTATAGTACTCCAAATAGCTTCATAAGATAATTCCCTTAATAAAGCACACGAATCCCCAAACATCAGCCAAAGTCAAGAAGAAGGGTACAACTGAACCAAGCTTTAATGATCACACACAGGCTTTTATGCAAGTCCCCACAAGGAGGGACAGAGATTAACCAATCGGGCACAGTAACAACATAAAACACACCCAGCACACACCTACAATTCCCTCCCCTAGCCCTGGAGATAATCAAGTCTGATAAAGTAATAACTTGATTATCTCTAGGCAGAAAAATCAAATTTTTCCCCAATATCTGGAACACCCCTTTATACATGAGGTATCCCCACAAATAATATATCCCCTGGTAGCCCCGATCTGGGTGACCAACATATTCAAATTTCACCCAGATCGGTTCAGGGGTTCTCAAAAAAAGTGGAAGTCTTCTGTGACCAGTTCACCGTGGGTGGGCTGCCCAAAATAGTTCCATAAGTTTGGGTGGTTTTGCCGGTCACTTCAGTAAAAAGGGAAAAAATGAATAAAGCACCGAATGGATCCCCCTGGCTCCCAGCACCGATTGTTTCCCCCGTCGAATGCACAAAAGTACCGAATAGCGCTCTTCTAGCTAGTCGGGAAATCTAGTTCCAGCGTTCGTCTGTTTGAGACCGGTGGTCGGGAAGTCGAGTGTCCGATTTTAGTTCCAGACACTCGACGACCAAGTCCCGCTGCCTTTGTTCGGCTGAAAAAAGATGGCCGCGGTTTTCTCAGCCACGTGGCGTTTGGCAGTACGAACACTGGCCGCACAGATAGAGGGGTTGATTGACGAATTCTTTGAAGCTTAATGAGCCAGGGGGGTGGTCATAACCCATGTAGGTATTCATGAGTTGTGAACCACTCTTCCATCTGATACTGGAATCGTTAAATAAATCTCTTTATATACTGCATTGGGTACGGGCATGTGGACGAAGTACAGAGACTGACTGACACACACTTATATATAGATCAGCATTAGGACATACAGACAGGACTTTCCCAAATTAATATAATAATATTGGATGATACATTCATCCCGTTAAAATATAGAGAAAATGCAGAACTTTTTAATTGAGAATTTATATTCCTTCATCATTTCCTGGTATCACTTAGCATGAGACAGCCTGCACCGGTGAAATGTAAAATGTGTCATCTATCTCATAGTCTCAGTGTGATTACAAAGAAAATGAAAGTTATAAAAAGGTTTATTACAAATATAAAAAGTAGAATCAGAATCAGCACTACAGAGAGATGATCAATTAAATTTCCAGGTAAGAATTTTGTTTCCATCAAAGGTTGTTTATAAAGATAGACTTTCCATGGAAAAAAACTAATTTAGACTGTTAGACTTTTACTGAAATACCAATCTAATCAGAATATAAAGATAAAGTAGGGTCTCTGTTGTATTATAGACAAGAGAATCGTACCAGTTCCTTGTCCTTAGCAGCCAATTTGTACAGGCTTCTACTCAATATTAATTGCATCTCATTGCACATTGCAGGAAGATCCAAGTTAGATTTTGCGGAATCTTCCATGGATCATGTAAAGAACAATTCTCCACCTTTCAGTTGCTTGTCATCTGGTCTCACACGGTGCGGATTTTCTATATTGTGTAGTTGGAATTAAATGCAATGTATTGCTTGTCTATGTTGTATGTGCCTTTTCCCCATCCTACTTTTTGGTCATGTTTTCCCAGCAGGGCATTGACACATGTTACAGGAACACTTTTAGAACTGGCTGCCCGACCTCTCCTTTAAGGCTCCCATGTGGTTCGTGTTCTTCTAGCCTTCCTTGTAAACACAGATCTCCATTCACACTGGTTATAATTTACGCTTTGAAGTGTGACTGATTGCTATCCCAAGTCCACACTGCTATTGGTTGACTTGTGTTCAATGTACAGACAGTAAATGGATAAACACCCAGTGTGAGTCTAGATAAAGTGTACATTGCTGTTCGACAGTGTATCAAGTGTCTGGCTGATATTTATGAGGGAACTTTCCGTGGAAGCTCTCTCTGCAGGATGTTTGACACTACTAATCTGGTAATGCTGGAAGGAAAGGCTGGCTCCCTGCTATATATTACCTTAGGAAAAGGGATGAACACTGGACAGCCAGAAATTCTGTATCCACTGCAGACATTTACACTACCACCTCCTCCCCTTCCATTAGTATTTTGGCATGTATTCTGTCATCTTGGGGTGTTCAGCTTGCAGTGTGAGTGGACTTGTCGGGAACTTATCATATCCTACCCTATCTCCATTCACATTGCAGGCTGAATGTTCCGTGCTGACAGACTGGACAGACAAGACGGAATACCCTCTGTCTCTGTACTACTCAGCTGATGGCAGGTAAGAGGGGAGGTGGAGTGACACACAGAGTATTATTAATAAAATAGATTATTTATGGGAAGGGGACTCGTGAAAGGTTAAGGAGATTATGGGGAGCAGTACACAGGGGGATTATGGGCAGGGTACACCACAGGGATTTGCAGGAAGCATGGCTCTCCTAATAGATGTCTCTTACAATTGTGAATCCATTACAAAAACAGTGAGGAACATTGCAATACATTATCAGAGAGAGATCCTTTATTTAAAATTATTTAAATAAGAATTACTGAAATGCTTCATACACATTAAACGGACACTATAGTCACCAAAACAACTATAGCTTATTGTATTTGTTCTAGTGAGTATAATCATTCCCTTCAGGCTTTTTGCAGTAAACACTGTTGTGACGGACCCTCCATCAATCGATGCTCCGATTGCTCACTGAGGACCATCAGCACCGCACCAGACACCATAACTGCTGCAGACCCCACGAACCGCCACAGCTTGGTTTGGGTCTCGCTATCTCCAACCCACCCTGGACCTACGACAAGGTTGGTGGGTGAACCTCTCTTCCTTCAGAGAGCGTAGTAGGAACAGCTTTTACAAGACCTAATGATTATCCAAGGGAGTATGATGATCATAGAAATCCCTTGCAGAGATATAGCAGTTAAACATTAGTGATGTCGCGAACCCGAAATTTTCGGTTCGCGAACGGCGAACGCGAACTTCCGCAAATGTTCGCGAACCGGCGAACCGCCCGAAACGCCATTGACTTCAATGGGGAGGCGAATTTTAAAACACACAGGGACTCTTTCTGGCCACAATAGGGATGGAAAAGTTGTTTCAAGGGGACTAACACCTGGACTGTGGCATGCCGGAGGGGGATCCATGGCAAAACTCCCATGGAAAATTACACAGTTGATACAGAGTCTGGTTTTAATCCATAAAGGGCAGAAATCACCTAACATTCCTAAATCACAATCAATATGGATTGACACCTGACATATGACATATTGACACCTTGACATATGGATTGACACCTGTCCTCAGAGCCCCTGATGCACACGGACACAGAGCAGAATAGAGACTGGTCCCCCTACATAGGGTCACTTGGCAGATATGGATTGACACCTGTCCTAAGGATCCCTGATACACACTGACACAGAGCAGAATAGGGACTGTTCCCCCTACATCGGGTCACTTGGCAGATATGGATTGACACCTTGTTACAAACTGTTATTTGTAACGGGCCCTTTAAATGGCAAATTGCCCTGCTTCCCTGGGTTGTGGAGAAGCCTATTTGCCAGCCTCCTCCCGCATGACTATGGCCCCTGGGAGATTGTGAAAATGTATGCACTTTTATTTGGTGTGTATGGCCCTTTAAGACTGTCGGTGGGCATATTGGGGCTTATGGACTCTTTATGTGACTGGTGCTGGCCCTTTAAACACCTTTTTTGGGACATCAGGAAGATTGGGACACTGCCCCTTTAAGGCCGTGTCCCCAGACTTGTTGGGGACACGGCCCCTTTAAGACGGTGTCCCCTGTGTCCCCAGACCTGGTGCAAACCCTTTGTGCCTGCCTTGCTATTTCCCACTTGGTTCAGTAAATGGGAAATTATTTCAGCTGCAGAGACTAAGTCCCATTCGGCGATGGGACTTAGTCTTTTTTTCAGCCTGAAATAGACCACCTCACAGCCCAAATCTATGGAACTGTTTTGGGCAGGAAAATGTGCTTGCGGTCGGTCATAAAGGGACCTCCAGCTAACTTTTTAACCCCTGGATGGATTTGGCTGATTTTTGGTTATGTTTATGTTTTAAGTGTGCTGATTCCAAATATGTAATTATGAAGATGGGATGTGTAATTTTAAAGTTACAGTGTATGGCTAAAAACTGTATTTTTACTGCCTGTGTTTAATTATGTTAATCTCTACCCAAACGTCATTTCTGCCCAAAGTGGAGAGAATGTTAAAGTTATATTTTGTTCGAGGTGAGAAATGCTTTTCAGCCGCTTCTAATCTTAAGCATCATTTGGAGGAGCCATACAGGAGAGAAACCTTATTTGTGGTGTGTTTAGTATTGTTCTGATCAGTTTAATACCTTCCGCTCTATCAGTGGACGGTATATGGCAGCCATTTTAGGAACTGCATACCTGGGACCCGGTGCAAGCACACAATTCTCGCTCAACAGGCTTACAACACATTTGTCCCTGGAAAACTATCCTGGACATTCTGTATAATTTGTATGGATATGGCAGTGATTTCTGTAACAGGGAGATGGAAGAAGATGCTTGGTCGGTCCTCTTAATTCAAATTTGGGCACTGCGCGGTCAAGCTAATGTGACACCAGATAGGAGTGGTGTGTTTAGTACTATTTTTATCAGTTTAATACCTTCCGCGTCTCCTATCAGTGGACGTGTACACGGCATTGATTTTTGTAACAGGGAGATGAAGAAGAGGCTTGGTCGGTCCTCTTACTGCAAATTTGGGGCACTGCGCGGTCAAGCTAATGTGACACCAGATAGGAGTGGTGTGTGTTGTATTGTTCTGATCAGTTTAATACCTTCCGCGTCTCCTATCAGTGGTCGTGTACACGGCATTGATTTTTGTAACAGGGAGATGGAAGAAGAGGCTTGGTCGGTCCTCTTACTGCAAATTTGGGGCACTGCGCGGTCAAGCTAATGTGACACCAGATGGGAGTGGAGTGTTTAGTACTATTTTTATCAGTTTAATACCT